GGCTAAATTAGTATCCCACATGGCTTTGTCACGTCTTCTTACTCTCCACTAATCTGTGAACAGCTATACAGACTTTTTCAACTTTCATAGTCTTAACACTTTTGAAGTTACTATTTCTGAGTACTAATATTTCTCAGGTAGATGTTATACATTTGTTTCCATGAGAAAACCTCAGAACTTAACTTCCTTTTGTAGTACATCAAATTAGGATGTATGTTGTCAGTATGTTTCATGAGGTTTTCGTCATGATCACTTCAGATTAAGAAGGCATTTACAATGTTTCTTCAGTGTACAGTTACTGTAACATTATATAAATACTGAATATTTTGAGCAAAAGGATTCAAGTCACCAAAAATAACAAAATTTTTCTCAAATTTCTCACCAGGTATTTAATATGCATCTAGCTAGGTTAGTAAGACAACATAAAGGGAAGAAAGACAACTGGCTCAATTTATAGATGATGCGAATCTATTTTAAATAATTCTCATAACTTTGTTTTTTTAAGCTCCTAGAACTAATAAGTGAATTCAGCAGGTTTATAGAATTCAAGGGCAATATATAATTTCAGTTGTATTTTTATATACTAGAAATGAGTACATAGAATTTCATTTTTAGCAGCACCTCCAAAGGAAATATGTATGAACCCAATATTTGATATAACACACACACACACACACACACACACACACACACACACACATAATGTGGAATTATAAGTCCATATTGCATGGAGAAATATTACTTGAAGGTTTTTGTTTGGCAGTACTGTGGTTTAAATCAGATCCCTCACTGAGCAACACCACCAACTTTCACTTTTTTTCTTCTTTTTCTTGTCTGTCGTGGGGCTTGAATGTGGGCCTGGACTCTGTCTCTGAGCCCTTCAGCTCAAGGCAAGCACTCTACCAGTTCAGCCACAGGGCCACTTCCGGTTTTCTGGTGGTTAATTGGAGATAAGAGTCTCAAAGCCTTACCTGCCCGGGCTGGCTTTGAACCAGGATCCTCAGATTTCAGCCTCCTGAGTAGCTAGGATTACAGGTATGAGCCAACAGTACCAGGCCATCAGCTCTTTTTATGTACTAGTTATTTTTGAGATAGGATCCCACTTCCTGTGCACATGACTTTCCATAAAGCTAGGATGACTGACACATACCACTCTAGCCACCTAATGCTGTTAGAGGGGTCTCATGAACATCTTTTGCCTGAGATGATCTAAACTACAATCTTCCCTGTATCACCCTCTCAGGTAGTTAAGATTACAGATCTGAGCATTGGCACCTAGCTACTTACGGGTTTTGATTCACAGTGAATGATTACTTCAGGCAGTAATAGCTGTGTCTGTGAAAAAGTAAAAGGATACATCGGGAAATTTTCTAGGCAAGACTTCTGAATATAATTCTGTGGAGAATGGTACTTGGAATTTTAAATGATGTGTTTCCTGCTTACTTTTCAAATTTTAAAAATAAAAAAGACTTGAAGATAACTGAAAACCATCAAAATGTCTTCAGGTACCACTATGCTTTTCTACATGAATAATCAGTATTGTATGTACATTTGGCATATTACTGATTATTTTTTAAAAAACATCTTGTTCCTTTAAGTTCCCCCGCCATGATGCCATTGCTTTCTTAGACCTTCCTTCCTTCCTCCCTCCTCCCCACCCCCTGTTTTTTTTCTTTCTTACATTTGGGTACAGTTTTTCTCATGGAACATTTTTCTGAAGTAACACTAAAATAAATCAAAGACAGTGTTATTAGTTAATCTTATCTTTAGCTTTGAAAATTCAAGCTGAATTCTATCAGAGAAGATAAGACCAAAATAGTTGAAACTTTCCAAATACTTAGAAAAGACTCTTTAGAACCTGTGCCCTTTATATTTGAATAGTTAAAACTATATAGCAAAGTGAATGGAGTGCTTATCACCAGAAATAAATACAACTGAATGTAGTGGTACATGCGTATAATTCTATCACTCAGGAGGCAAAGACAGAAGGATTACTAGTTCCAGACCAGCCCAGGCAACATAGCAAGACCATGTCTCAAAGTGGAACAAAACAAAAAAATAATACTCTATTCTGTCTCAACTACTAAAAAATTGGACAGGGTTCTGTTTACTTTTCATCCCAGCACACCCTAAAAAATACATGCAGCAGTACAACCAAGCAAATTATTTCATGGAGAATAATCACATCACTCATACATTTTGGGAAAACAAAAAATATCTGTGATATTTATGGATGATTACAGAATTGTCTGTCATATATTGTGATAAATGTAGAGCATGGGATGGATTGATTTGCTCTTCTGATTTGAGATGATACAATAAAGTAGAAATACTATCAGCTAATAGTTTCTGCACCTCTCCAAAAACTTAAATAAAAATTTAAGGTATGTATTGTTATAGTATGTTCCAATTAGTGCATGTATATTTATAGTATATTATAAACAGGGTTCTTATTTATACAGTGTTAGAAAACCTTGGTTCTTTTTCTTTATTCACAGTTTCAAGAAATTTTACTACGTACATATATATATATCTGTATATTAAATTTTTAAAAATCAGTATCAGTCAACATATAAAAGATCTAATGGGAGGCATCATTAAGTATATTTGTGGACCAGAAAATGTGTCCTAGACAGTAGATAATGTCCTAGACATGAAAGATGCTTTGCCCTCCATTTAGCTAAAAGCATCTGGGAACTTTTATACTGTGATATCTAAATAATGAAATCACCCAAGGAATTTAAATGCTCATACATAGGTGCCACCTTCAACACTCCAATGGTCAAGTTATAGCTTTGTCAATAGGACACTTGTAAATTGTCCACTTATAGATGTACAGCCACTATTGAGAGCCAGTATTTTATAGATAACCTAAATAATCCATTTGTTTTTTTTGTTCTTTAAATTGTATTTTGTTAAAATTGTCAGTAAAGATCACATTGTGCAGCATGCATATATTTTTTTGAGTTTTTTGTTGTTGTTGTTTCTTGTTTTTTGGGGGTAGGTTGTAGGGCTTGAACTCAGGGCTGAGGCACTGTTCCTTCACCTAATTGTGCTCAACACTAGCACTCTACCACTTGAGCCACAGTGCCACTTCTGGTTTTTGAGCAGTTAATTGGAGATAAAAGGTCACAGAGACTTGTTTTCTGCCTAGGCTGGCTCAAACTGGGACTCTCAGATCTCAGCCTCCTGAGTAGCTAGGATTTCAGGCATTGAACTACCAGACACCTGGCTTTTTACAAATGTTTTTAAAGATATGTTGTACTATCCACTCTGCCACTGAATTAATTGGGTACATGATAGATTTTTATATTCTCTGCTTTAAAATTTTCTCCCTACATTCTATCTTCTATGTTGTCCCAACACTTTTCTAAAACATGAAAGAATTATGTCCCTGCTTAGCATAAAACCTTTAATTATTTGTCCTTTTCAGAGTAAATTATAAATTTCTTATCTGACACAACCTATTTTCAGTTTTATCTTCTGTTCATTCAACACTTGAGAACCTGAATTCCATTCTTGCCGGTTCCCCCGCAGGGCTTGTGTTCATTCATTCATTCACTTATACCTATGTTGTTTTTGTTGTTTCTGTTGTTAATTTTAATTATTGTGCTAGCTTCCCATTGCTGTGACAAAATATCTGAGATAACCAATTTATAAAGAGGAAAGATTTATTTTGGCTCAGGCTGTTTTCAGAGGTTCCAGTTGATAGTCACTTGATTATAAAGCTTTGGCCTATGGTAGCACAGTACATATGGCAGAAACATGTAGCAGAGCTGACCCGTTCACCTTAAGACTATAGAGAAGCAAAAAGGAATGAAGAAGAGACTGTGTCCCAATATCCTCTGCAAGGTTAAGCCCTCAGTGATCTAACTTCCTCGGAGTAGTGCCAAATGATGGAGTCTAAACCTTTGACAAAGGTTTATGAGAGAGATTCAAACAGTAGCAATCATAATTCAACAAGAGATTCAGGTATAGAACAACACTAGTACTTATTGAAAACATTAGCCAAGGACTTTTCTAGATTCTTTATAAAATGTTGCTCTTGTAATCCTTGTCGTAATACATAAGGAGGCATTTTTCTTGCTGTGTAGATGGGAACTTGAGGTTTTAGAGATCAACTAACTTATTTAAAATTATACTTCAGTGTAGGCAAATATGGTATTTTAAACGTCAAGTCTGATGTTTGTTTCTGCAACCTTCCTCACATAGTTTCAATACTATATCCCCACACAATCTTTACTATAGTCTATTCTCAAACATAGTATACATAAACTTTTGATATTTTCAGCCTAGTTTTGAGGTTTTTATAAGAGAGAGAAATACATTTATTGGCTTTAAAAGGTGGTATGGGATTCATGAGGGGGAAGAATTCAATATTAAAAGGTAGGTTAATTGGATATATCTCCTGTGTTCTGTATATAGTCATTTTTATTAATTGCTATGTTTTTCTTTTCTGTTATCAGATAGTTGTGTTGAACTATGTATTTTCATTTTTAAAGTCTTTTTTTCTCTGATATTCTTGTAAGTACTGAACATTTCCATCCTTTGTTTACTGGTAGCGTAAGACCTATTTTTCAGTTTTTACTTGAACAAAACGTCTTACTATTCCACAAATTGGCAGAGTAAGATTTGTACATAATTAACAGAAATTTAAATGTATTCAACTATAAAAACTTTGTCAAACTGTGATTTTTCTGTCCCTATGAGGAAGAAAATAAAAGAGCTTATATATGTAGATAAGTTTTATAGGGCAAAGTACACAGCCTTTGAAACCGTAATAGTCTCTGTGTGGAAAAATGCTAATGTTCAACAAGAAGTTAATTTGGACAGCATGAAAATTTTGATTTTTTTTTACTTACTATAAATTTGATAACATGTAATACTTGTTTCTTGTATGTGATTTCCAGATTTTATTAGCGTTTCTAATTGCTTCTTTAGACTATTGCTTTTGTAATTACTGCTTTACAACCTAATTTGAAAATTTTTTCCTTCATTAGAATGTGGAACATGTTCATGCATTGAATAAGTGGCTGAAGGAGGAAAGAAAAAAGTGCCACTGCCTATCAGAAAAGAAAAGAAAACAAAACATGGGAAATACAACCACCAAATTCCGTAAAGCACTGATCAATGGTGATGAAAACCTAGCTTGCCAAATATATGAAAATAATCCTCAGTTAAAAGAATCTCTTGATCCAAATACATCTTATGGGGAACCTTATCAACACAACACTCCATTACACTATGCTGCTCGACATGGAATGAATAGAATATTAGGGTGAGTATTTCTGTAAACCAATAGAGAAATGGTAGGAGGGAGAAATAATTGTGATCTTTGAAAACAGATACAAATACTGAAATTAAATATGCCTATATTATTTGGTATAATTTTTTTGGTATGACTTTAGTACACTTTTCTTCATTATACCTAAATTAGATAAAAACTTTTAATAGCAAAATTGGTTCACATGTTGTTGCTATGAACTTATTTTGGAGAGTTTTTTTGTTTTGTTTGCCAGTCCTGGGGCTTGAGCTCAGAGCGTAGGCACTGTCCCTAAGCTTCTTTTCCTCAAGGCTAGCACCCTACCACTTGGGCCACATTGCCAGACCCTGTTATGAACTTTGATCATTCCATGTTTGTTAGAATATATAATATTTAATTTACTATGCATAATATTGTCTTAGTGTACATTTCAGTTCTTAGAAATACATACTAATTATCAAAAAATTGTAGTAAGTGATACCAAAGGCAAAGTTTTAAGTTCTCTCTGACTTGGTATTTTAGGTTGAAAAAATTTTCCTTTCTACTCATGGTCAGGTTTGAATTTACTTTCTTGTAATGAATTCTTGAACGTCCTTCTAAAGTTACAACATTTTCTTAAAAGTGAAAATACCAAAAAACTATGGACAGCAAATACTTAAAGGTTTTTATTTAATTATATATTTACTAGTTTATATAATAAAAGGCCTGAATAGAATACATTGTAACTTTTTTTTGAAGTAGATCATGTAGCAGTGGAAGTCTGATGCTAGAAGAGAAAGAAAATATAAACATTTCTTGGATTTTACTATGCAATATAATTCTTGAACCACTATTCAAAGCTCTTTAGAACTTTGAAAGCAAAAAGCTTTCAAACTGTTAAATATTTCTTCTGTGTTCACACATTATTCAAGTTAAGCTGTTCTTTTTCTTATCTCCAGAATATAGCATGGATGTTCTGTTTGCCTTGTCCACGCTGCTGTCTGCCAGCCTCCCCCATGCTCTCATCTTTCTCTCATTATCTACTTTCTTGTTATCTTCTTTCAAGGTCCTGTGTATGCTACATGTATCATCTTAGATGGTTACAACTCACAGTAACCTTATTAAGAAAATAACTTACAAGCTTCTTTTTATTAGTACAACTTGTGTTTTACAATTTTGTGCATTTTCTCTCTGCTTACCCCTATTAGGGCTTTTTTTTAAGTACCTTTTTTGTACTTCTAGCATCTAGCATAGTGTCTTATACAGAGTATATAGCAGTTTTATAAAACCATTAGACAAGGATTTATGTGTGCGAAAAAATTACCTAAGTAATTTAGGTCATCCAGACTTTTTCAAGTATATTTTGGAATTTATAGGTGTTGCTGTTACCTCATTTTTAATTTATTTTTTTATTTTAACTTCTGTACAAAATACATTTTAAATTTAGCTCATTTGAAATTGGTACTTTTACATACCAAACTGGGTCCTTCCTATATTAATGATACTAAGATATTATGTTAATGTAGTATCTATTGAGTATACTATTTTCTTTTTTTTTAATTTTTATTTTATTGTAAAGGTGATGTACAGAAGGGTTACAATTACATTAGTGATGAGCACATTTCTTTTCAGAAGTGGTACTTCCCTTGTTTTCTCCCCCTTTCCTCCCCACTAAATTGTAAAGTGTCTAGAGAGTATCTCTGTTGCATTGGTTCACCCTTTGTATCACTGTTTCTATGATTACCCTTCCCTTCCCCAAATCAGATAAACTTATATAAAAGACAAAGGGTACCAAAATCAGAAATGGTGACCAGGGGAATAAACCAGAGGAAAAAACAAAAGAAATAAAACCCTGCAAACAGTACAAGAGTGTACTATTTTCTAGGTTTTGTTGACAATGTTTTGCATGTATCATCTCCCAGTCTTCCCTACAATTCTGTGAGATAGCTTATTACCTGCTTTTTATAAAATGTGAGAAAGCTGAAGTAAGGTTAAACAACTTGTCAAAGCTTTAATAGCTTGCTAGTGGCAACATTAATTGCCTAGGCAGATGACTGAGCCTCTTGTACACACACTTTAGCTACAGCACCACTTCCGGCTTTTTCTCATTAGTTTATTGGAGATAAGAGTTTCATGGACTTTCCTGCACAGGCTGGCTTCAAACCGTGATCTTTAGGTCTCAGTCTCCTGAGTAGGATTACAGGCGTGACACCCACTAGCGCCCAGCTTGTTATATTCTCTTAGTTACCAGTTTGGATTACTTTTATTATTTGATTATATACTTTAAAATTAGTTGAGTACTTTTTAAAAATAATAACCTAGGGCTGGGAAGGTGGCTCAGTGGTAGAGCGCTTGCCTTGCATGCGTGAGGCCCTGAGTTCAATTCCTCAGCATCATATAAGCAAAAAGAAAAAAGCCGGAAGTGGTTCTGTGGCTCAAGTGGTAGAGTGCTAGCCTTGAGCTGAAGAGCTGAGGGACAGCGCCCAGGCCCAGAGTTCAGGCCTCACGACTGGACCCCCCCCCAAAAAAAATAAAATAAAAATAATAACCTGTAGTCATCAAATGTTTTCTTTTTTCCTAATTGTTTGAAAAACACTGGCTCAGAATTTTCTTTTCTTTTCTTTTTTTTTTATGAGGCTAGAGTTTGAACTTAAGGCCTCAAGCTTGCTAGACAACTCTGTTACTGAATCATGCCTCTAACCCTCATAATTTATACATATGTATGTGTGTGCATGTGTGTTAAAATCCTAAGATTTTAATAAGATTTTAATAGTAGGTCTATGCATATATCAACACAGTAGATCAGTTTATCAGTTTAAAATACCTCCACTTTATGGTTTAGCATCTTGCTCATAGTTTCTTTACTAAAGCATTTAACATACTACTTTAGAATCAGACATTCTTTTGCTGCTTTCTTTTCCTAATAATAAACAATTGTGCCTTCTTTGATTTATGAATTACTTTGTTTTGCAAATTTTTTAATGTAATGCATATTCACAAATGAAAAAAAATTAACAGTTTTATTGGGATATAATTGTACATATTAAGATGTGTATGTGATACTATGCTATAGAAGTGTTAACTAGCATATCAGATTAACTAGCATATCCATTATGTCACATGTTACCATTTGGGGGGGGGCGTGTTAAGAATATTCAACATCAGTTGTTAAAGTAAATTTCAAATATATAGGCCATAATTACTAAATGTAATCACATGCTGTTTATTGGCTCTCTAAAACTAAGTAATTTTGTAACTGAAACTTATTTCATTTATCCTTAAACACCATTTGAGTCCCTTTTTCTGTGAGTCTAGGTTTTCTTTTCTTTTTTTCATTTTTTCCTTTTTTTTTCTTTTGGTAATGGTATTGGGGCTTGAACTCAAGGCTTCACACTCCCTCAGCTTTTATTGCTCACAGCTGGCACTCTACTACTTGAACTGTGTCTCCAGACTATCTTTTTTGCTGGCTAATTGGAGGTAGAGTCTCAAGGACTTTTTGTTCACACTGGCTTTGAACCTTGATCTTCATAGCTAGGTCTCCTGAAAAGCTAGGGTTATAAACAAGCCACATGCACCCAACAAATTGAGTTTTTTTGCATTCTGCATACAAGTAGGATCTGGTAATATTTGTTTTTCTGTGTCTGGTTTTGTTTCTCTTAGCAAATTGTCCTCCAGTTTCCCTCTAGTTTCAGCCATGCTGTAACAGATTGCGGGGTTTCATTCTTTGTTGTTGTTGTTGGTACTTGTCTCATTGGTACTGTGGTCTGAATTAAGACCCTCGTGTTTGTTAGGCTTAACTTGAGCCACACCTCTGGCCCTGCTTGCTGGTTCATTGGAGATGGAGTCTAGTGAACTTTTCTGTCTAGGCTTTCCTTTCAAATGAAGATCTTCCAAATCTCAACAGACATGATCCATTGGCACCTGGGTAGAATTTTAGTCTTTTTAAGAATTGAATAGTATTTCATTGTATTATGTGTATACCACATTTTCCTTATTCATTCCTTCATGAATAATTAGTTGGTTTGTGGATATTGTAATAATACGTCAAACATGGGAATGTAGTTACCTTTCTGAGACAGTAATTTTATTTCACTTGAATGTATGCTAGAAGTGGGATTGCTGGGTCCTATAATTCTTTTTTATTTTTTAGAGAAACTTCCATACTATTTTTCATAATGACTGCACTATTACATAACCACCAGCAATGTGTGTATCTCTCTCTCTTTCTCTTTCTCTCTCTCTCTCTCTTTTTTTGTCGGTCATGAGGCTTGAACTCTGGGCCTGGGCGCTGTCCCTTAGCTCTTCAGCTCAAGGCTAATGCTCTACCACTTGAGCCACAGCGCCACTTCTGGTTTTCTGGTGGTTTATTGGAGATCAGAGTTTCATGGCCTTTCCTGCCTGGGCTGGCTTTGAACCACAATCCTCAGAACTCAGCCTCCTGAGTAGCTAGGATTACAGGCATGAGCCACCAGTGCCCAGCTTGTGTCTCTCTTTTCTATATCCTTTGCCAACTTGACTTTTTGATAATAACTATATTAGCAAGTGTGATTCCTAATTGTGATTTTTACTTGCATTTCTATGTGATATTGAACATTTTTTCATATGCCTGTCGGCCATTTCTGTGTATTATTTGGAAAATGGTCTATTTGAGCTCTTTACTCATTTTAAGAATAATGTTATTTGTGGCTTTTTTTTTTTTTTGCCAGTCATGGGGCCTGAACTCTGGGCCTGGGCACTGTCCCTCAGCTCTTCAGCTCAAGGCTAGTACTCTACCACTTGAGCCACAGCACTACTTCCAGCTTTTTCTGCTTATGTGGTGCTGAGGAATCGAACCCAGGGCCTCATGCATGCAAGGCAAGCACTCTACCACTGAGCCACCTTCCCAGCCCCTATTTGTGGGTTTTTTGTTGTTGAAAGTTTTCTCCCATTTCACAGGCTCTCAGCAGTTTATTAAATTGCTTTAAAAATTAACTATTTTTAGTACTGTCTTGTACAATAAGGCTAACTAGAACTTCTTTCATCAGAATAGCATAACTAGTTATTTGTATTTTATGTAATATTATGGGTTTTACTGGTTTTAACCTTACCTAACTTTCTGTCAACTCTGGTTCATTTTGGTTTTTCCTTTTCTGTTTTTTATTTTCTCATGCTACCTCTCATGATCTGGAATTCCTACTTGCTACTTTAGTATAGACTCTTGCCGTTTGGCGAGATTCCTAACCTATGACACTAATTTCATAGACAAAGACAGAAATACCTACTCAAGGCCTTTTAAGCCAGATGATAAAGCATCAATTTGGAATGTCACTGATGTTTTTAAAGTCTCATCATTCCCTTTAGCTCTATGCTAACTGCAATAACAGTCATCATTCTTTTCTCAGGCAGTATGATATAATAAAATCAGTAGAATTCACAGCTCAACCTGAACACAAGTGCCATTTATATTACATCACACCATACTGCTTCTTTTATAGGACCTAAATCCATACTTTCTGCTTAATTGTAGCAAAAAGACTATGAACTTTGGAGCTATTGTGTTCTAAGTTGGCTATGTAATTCTTTGGTTGTATCATCTGCAAAATTAACTCCTTTGCCTAGTTGGAAATAAGAATAAGAGGTGTGTGTTAGATTATGCATAATATATAAAGTCTTACTGGGTGTCAGTGGTTTATGCCTGTAATCTTAGCTACTCAAGAGGCTGAGAGCTAAAGGATCACAAGTTAAAACAGCCCAGGAAGAAGATTCTACAAGATTTCATCTCTAGCTAAAAGCTGGTGTAGAGCTGTGTGCCTGTGGCTCATGCCTGTAATCCTATTTACTCAAGAAATTGAGATCTGAGGATCATGAAGCCAACCCAGGCAGGAAAATCCATGAAACTCTTTATCTCAATCATGAGCTGTGGCTTAAGTAGTAGAGCACTATGAGCACAAAAGCTCAGGAACAGAACTCAAGCCCAGCAAAAAAGCTGGGCTAGAAGCATGGCTCAAGTGGTAGAGCACCAGCCTAGTGGGCAAGCTGAGCAAGCATGAGGCTCTGTGTTCAAACACTAGTACTAACAAAAAATAGAAAATGAAATGTGTGTGCATGCATGCACGTATGCATGTGCACATGTTTGTGTCTTTTATTAGGCATATGTTCACATCAAAAGTCCATACCTTTGAGGGTTGGTTAAAAAGAACTTTCCAATTATTGTTTCCTGCCTTCCTTTCCTCCTTCCTTCCTAACCTATTTTAGGCGCAATTTTAAATGAATTGAAATTCAGGCATGTTCTCCACTCCTCTGTATGCAAACCCATAAACACAAGAACATACTCTTGTTTTCTGCATAGTATGCCAAACTTCTAAAACAGTACCTGGCAAATAATTAATGCTTAATCTGCATTTGTTGCTCAAAGAAGAGATTTTAAAGGAATGAAAGCTTGAATATATATTATTGACCCAAAAATAAGATTACTGTAAGAAATTGAGACTCTGGAAAAGAAGACTGATTTTGAAGGAAGTTCAGCTAAGTAAGGGATGAGAAAGTGGCTTATGAGAAGTTAAACTATGCTGTCCATGATGGTACATATCTGCATTCCCAGCTATTAATAAGGTGGAGATGGGAGGATTATAGTTTGAGCCCAGCCAGGACAAAAACTGAAACCCTACCCCTAAAACAAGACATGCATGGAGTTTCATGCTTGTCTTGCAGTCCCAAGACTGGCCCAGCAAAAAAGAACCTGAGCCTCTCTGAAAATCAAACTAAAAGTAAAAAGAACCAGGATGTGGTTCAAGTGGTAGAATGCCTGTGTAGCAAAGCATGAGGCCTTGTGTTCAAACCTCCAGTACCACCGAAAAGAAACAGAAAAAGTTAAAATATAGAGGGGTAGAATAGATCAGTAATAGCATGCATGTGTGGTGTGCAGAAGACCCTAGTTTCAATTCTTGATGCTACAGAGAAACAAGAGTGTTGTTTTAAAAAAAGGGTGAGGAAGTGATACGGATGTCAGATGTCAAGTCACATAGGCTGACTGGGAACTAAGAATTACCATAAAGTTAAGTAGAAGCCCTTTAAAAGGAGCCATAATTCTTCCAATACTGCTTCTCATTTGGGTTCTGATTATACTTTAATTGCAAAGTGTATTCATAATATACACTTCACATCATTAAATGGTAAATAGCTCTGAGTGTAGATGTACTTTTTGAATGTGTATGGAGAAGGAAATTAGTAAAGGACTGAAATTTGCTTCTGAAAAGGGTGCGATTTTTTTCACGTGTGTGCTGAAAACAAAATTGGTATTAATGGGTTGTTATGAAATCCAAGGTAATAGAAAGGTCAGGGTAAAAATGAAACAGCAGTTATAGGTTTAGGACAAACATTAAAGCACTGGAAACATGGCTCAAATGGTAAGAACACCTGTCTTGAGAGAAAAAGCTGCGCAAGATCACAAGGCCCTGAGTTTAAGCCCCAGTAATAAAACAAGAAAAGAAATAATAAGTTTGGGGGAAACAGTGATGAAAAATGTATCTCTTAGGAAATCCTAGTAATAGAAGAATGCAAAAGTTTAGCATAACAGTAAGAATAGAGTTATATTGAAGTGAGGGATGAATGTAGAAGTAGAGATAACAGATTATAAACTGGCCACTGGAGAATTAACAGTGAAGGAATCTAAAAGCATGAAGCCTTGGATGGGGTATTAGGGTCAAATGAAAGGGATAGGTATTTTGTTTTTGTTTATTTACCATAGGTTAATGTTTTCCTTAATGCACCTTCTTGTTAATCATCCTCTGAGCCTGCTATAAAAAAGATCTTACATGCAGGTAGTAGAAACAATAACTACTGAATCTGTTGCCCCTTGATCTTAGATCTCCAAGCTCCAAATATCATAGATTTAAAATACTAATCTCAGCTGGCTGCTGAAGGCTCATTCCTGTAATCCTAGCTACTCAGGAGGCTGAAGTCTGAGGATTGAGGTGTGAAGCCAGCCACACGCACACACGCGCACGCACACACACACACACACACACCCAGGACCTGAGTTCAAGCCCTGGACCAACACACACACACACACACACACACTGAGTTCAAGCCCCGGACCAACACACACACACACACCCCTAACCACACACACACACCCCTAACCCGGTAATGATGGTTCTGGGATGAGGTTGTGAGGTAGGTCCCTCATATATCAGCACAAACAATAAGCTACTTTGTAAATATATACTTTATTATTCCAAAGACCAGCTTGTTATGTTCAGGTAAAATTTTTCCTAGATTTAAAATTTAATGTCAGCCTTATGTTTTACTTGCCATTTTCATATTCATTAGCACTGTCCTTATTAAATACACACACACACACACACACACACACACACACACACACACACACACACACGATAAACAGCAATAAGGCAAAAATACCTGCATAGAATGCTTAATGTTGGGGCTGGGAAGGTGGCTCAGTGGTAGAACGCTTGCCTTGCATGCCTGAAGGCCCTGGGTTCGATTTCTCAGCACCACATAAGCAAAAAGAAAAACCCGGAAGTGGCTCTGTGGCTCAAGTGGTAGAGTGCTAGCCTTGAGCTGAAGAACTTGAGGGACAGTGCCCAGGCCCAGAGTTCAGGCCCCATGACCGGACCCAAAAAGAAAAAAGAAAAGAATGCTTAATGTGCCCTTAGACCATATATAATTGACATATTAATCTAACCTATATACTACCCTGTTTTACTTTCTTTCTTTTCTCTGTCTTACCCCTTTTCTCTTAGCTTTCTTTTTTTCTTCTTCCTTTCCCTATGTTATTGTTCTCTTACAAGCAGTACTGGGGTAGAACTTATATTTTTTAATCTGCTGTGTATTTCCTTATAGAAAAAATGTTTTCACCTTCCCTTTCCATTTTAGGACTTTTCTTTTTGGTAGAGATGGAAATCCTAATAAACGGAATGTGCACAATGAAACATCTATGCATTTGTTATGTATGGGACCTCAAATTATGATATCTGAAGGAGCCCTTCATCCTCGCTTAGCACGCCCTGTGGAAGATGATTTTAGAAGAGCAGATTGTCTGCAGATGATCTTAAGATGGAAAGGAGCAAAACTTGACCAAGGCGAATATGAGCGAGCAGCTATTGATGCTGTTGATAACAAAAAAAACACACCCCTTCACTATGCTGCTGCCTCAGGGATGAAAGCCTGTGTAGAGGTAAAATTTCTTCTTTGTTGCATTGTAAAATTTGTGTCTTAATGGTATATAACAATGGTTATTTTGCTTGTCCTAACAGTGTTTTAACTAGCCATTTTTAAAAGTCCCTTTCATCTTTCTCAAAGATACAGGGACCTTTAAAAAGGCCCCTGTTTCTTAAAGTTTTTTGGGGGGTAAGAGAACTCACAACTTAATAGTCAGCCCTTCAAATAAAATGCGATCAAAATGCTGGGTTCTGGTGACTCATACCTGTAATCCTAGCTACTTAAAGAGGCTGAGATCTGAGGATCACAGTTCACAGCCAGCATGGGCAGGAAAGTCTGTGAGACTCTTAATCCCAATTAACCACCAGAAAACTGGAAGTGGAGCTGTGGCTCAGAATGATAGAGCACAAAAGTTTAAGAGTGCCCAGGTCCTGAGTCTAAACTCACAAGCAAAACTCAGACAAAAACAAAAAGCAGTTAAGAGATTGCTTTCGTCTTCTTCTTCTTCATCTTCCTCTTCCCCTTCTCCTCCTCTTCCTCCTCCTCCTCCCCGTCCTCTTCTTCCTCCCCCCCCCCCCCCCCACAACCCCCTGGTTTGGGTTTTGAACTCTGGGCCTGGGCACTGTCCCTCAGTTTCCAAAAACATACTCAGTCTTCTTCTGTACCCTTCCCTGTACCCTTCCCTCTCTTAACTGAACTTTAGATTATTGTCTCTCTTTCTCCCTCCTTTTCTCCTTCCCTTTTCTATCTCTTTGTAGCAGCACTAAATTAATACCACTCATTGAAAGTGTGGAAGTCTTCATTATCACCTCTTTGGCACTCAATATTAAATAGCGCTTTGTATTGAATCTTCATGTTGGTATCTAATTTTCAGAGCTTCCTTAAACGGAAAGTCTGGAGTTTCACAAATCAATATTTTAGAATTATTTGTGAGAAGATAGTTATGCAGAGAGGAATAGACTGAAATTGTTTAAAAGTTAGAAATGTTATATGACAACATTTATTAAGGATAAACTAAATAATGTTTATCCAATTCTGATTTTTTTTTTTCATGGGGTTGAACTCTGGACCTGGGCACTGTCCCTGAGCTCTTTAGCTCAAGGCAAGCACTCTACCACTTGAGCCACAGTGCCACTTCCAGTTTTCTTGTGGTTAATTGGAGATAAAGAGTCTCATGGAAGCCGGGCGCTGGTGGCTCACGCCTGTAATCCTTGCTACTCAGGAGGCTGAGATCTGAGGATCGCGGTTCAAAGCCAGCCCGGGCAGGAGAGACCGTGAGACTCCTATCTCCAATAAACCACCAGAAAACCGGAAGTGGCGCTGTAGCTCAAGTGGTAGAGCGCTCGCCTTGAGCTGAAGAGCTGAGGGACAGCGCCCAGGCCCAGAGTTCAAGCCCCACAACGGACAAAAAAAAAAAGAGTCTCATGGACTTTCCTGCCCCGGGTGGCTTTGAACTGTGATCCGTAGATCTCAGCCTTCTTGAGTAGCTAGGATTATAGTCATGAGCCACCTGCACCAAGCCAAATTCTGATTTTTTTTATATACCAAACAATTATTCAGAAATTAGCAAAGTTTTCTGTGAGTGCCTAGATAGTGAATATTGTAGGCAACTCTGCCATTGTAACCTGAAAGTCATCATGGACAATAAGTAAACAAAGCAGAGCACTGTCCTAATAAGACTTCATTTATTGACATTATTAAATTTTCACATATCATCAAGTGTATCTTTGTTTTTTTTTTCAGTTGTGTAAAAATATAAAAACAGTTTGTAGTTCATGGCTGTCCAATGAAGCAGTCAACAGATTGTATTTGGCCCATGGGCCTCATGATAGAAACCCTTCTCTCCCATGTAATGCAGATAATGAGAAAGGAAAGGAAAGGAAAGGAAAGGAAGGATTACTTGACACTTGAAATGCTTGTTTTCAATATGTAGAATGCCATTGTTAATATGTAAGAAGATCTGTCTTTTAATTACACAAAGGCCTTATTTGAATACTGTTTGTGTGCCCAGCACACAAAAATAAAACTTCATTAGAACATAAGATTTCCAAGAATTTAACATAAACACAATCACACACACATACACACACATATAGTAACTTAATTGCTGAGAAGTTTTGTATTCTCCTTTAGAATTGAAATGAACTTTGGAGAGAGGAAAAGAGGTTTGTTTGTTAATATGATCCAATCAAAAATCCAGTTATGCTTCACCTTTTCATAATGTTCCTAAATGAATTCTAGTCATTAGGCTGTATCTTTTGTTTTAGGTAGCCTGCAATAATGATTCAGTAAATGATGTGGCAAAAGTTTTTGGTTTTGATAGTGTTCTATGTCAAAAACCTTAAAAAAAATTATACTAATCTATTTGCTGTATACCTCATTTGCTTATTCAAAGCACTAAGTGTAACTGCTTAATGTCACATCAAATAGAGGTCACTAGAAAACCAAAGGTGTAAGTCCTACTTTTTCCTTTACAGCCACAGAGCCTGTTTGACACTTTGGCAGCTACTAGAGGATTTCACACTTCATGGAAAAGCCATAAAAGCAATTTCACAGATAAAACTGAAGAGTCTACCTAATTATATTGTGTTTCTAGCACCTAGAGTTTAAAAATAGAGAAGAATACAGGAACTGTAGTTCAGCTCAACAATAGAGTAATACCTGTCTAGGCCTCAGTTTTCTAATTTTTAACCCAAAGTTATAATCCCATTACTATTCCAGTAATGAGATGCATGCTAATGGTGATATTAATACAATGACTATAAAAAGTTTTAATACATTTTGGAGGGTTCATAAGTAGTAGTAAGATTTAAATGCATAAGGTTTACTTTCTTCCTAAGTAGGTACGTACTCATATGGTTTTAAGATCTGTAGCATCAGTAATTCCTATGAACTTGTTGAATACAAATTTTTGGTACCATGATCTTGTAGATTCCAAAGTGAAATCTCTAGGAGTAAATTCCAAGGACATTTTGTCACGTGATCAAAAGGACTCCGGTAATCCTTTTAAATGACACTATTTGAGAAGCACTATTCTAGTCTCAAGCTTATGCAGCTTGAAGTCTTTTTCTTTTTAGGAGGAATAATAAGACAGGTTGCTTAAAAGGAAGACAGAGGTCACACCAAGTAGAAACTACAAAGTGCTGGAGTCTAGGACTTAGTGGTTTCTTTTTCAGAAAATCAAACTATTGAACAATTTTGATTGTTATAAAAGCAAATATAGAAATATTAGCTAATAGGATGTTGTATGGCTTTGAATAGGATACTGCTACAGGAATGCTTCTTGTTGCTTTAAGGATTGTGCTCATAAAAAAAATAAAAAATTTTTAAAAGTGAATTAAAAAGTACTTTGAGGTTACTGATTCTGTAACACCTAAGATATTGAGGGAACTGGTTGAAAGTACAGCCTCCACATCAGATCAACTGGATATGAATCTGTAGTTTAATAAAATCCCAGTCTCAATCATGTTCATAGTTAAGACTGAGAATCACTAAGACCATAGTCTGTGGGCCTTCTGCATTGAAATCACCTATAAAAGTTTTACACACTTTTTAAAGTACCTACTTCAAATATACCTAATATTGCTACTAATATTACTATCAGTATTACTATTGCTGCAATCCTTAAGCTACTCAGATGATGCTTATGTAATTTGAAAACTTTGTGCTGGTATAAAACTTTGTGCTGAACAAAAATTATTTTTTGTTCAATACAATTCAATTAAAATCTTTGAAAATGAACCACATCTTAGTTCTCCAGGTAACTCAAGTTTATAGCCAAGGGGAAGTGGTAGGAGTTAAATATTATTGCGCTAATTCATTCTGGATTTGTGTAGGGTTAGTAGTAATGGTAAAGAATGAAGCAGATATTAGGGACATCATAAAGAACAACTAGCATTGAGTGACAATAAAAAAGCATGCCCATGTAATTGTAAACCCTGTGTACGGTATTTTCACAATTTAAAACAAACAAAAAAAAAAGCAAGGGAGAGATATACCTAAAATAGTGGAGGCTTTAAAATGGCAGTTTTGACAATGAGCTGTGTTCGATAGTTTCCTCTCTCTGATTTTTCAACATTTTCTATCATTGTTCTTTTTTTTGGGGGGGGGGGGGCGCGGTCAGTCATGGGGCCTGAACTCTGGACCTGGACACTGTCCTTCAGCTCTTCAGCTCAAGGCTAGTGCTCTACCACTAGAGCCACAGCACCACTTCTGGCTTTTTCTGCTTATGTAGTGCTGAGGAATCAAACCCAGGGCCTCATACAGGCGAGCCAAGCACTCTGCCACTGAGTCACCTTCTCAGCCCTCATTGTTCTTGTATATATATAACTAGAATAAAATAATTGAACTTTATTTTTAAATAAAATGAGCATCTATTTTTTAAAACCTGAGCAACTTGGAAGCCAAACTATTATCAGACATTGGAAAAGTGAGATGAGGTGGAAGAATTAGTTTAAAGAAAGGAACATATGTATCAAGTTTTTATTTAGAAGGTTAGAGATTAAAGTCTTAGATTGTCTACATGAAATAATAGGCAGTTTGGCTAGATGATAGGCAGATAGGCTTTTGTACTTGGGAAATAAAGCATATAGATTTGAGATTGGGTGTCATCTACAGAATTGATAAGTAAAAGCAAGATAATATATGAGATATCAAGGAAAACTTGAAGTTATAAATAAAATAGTGTTCAACTCACAACATCAATTTAGAGATTGCCTAATGTTTGAAGAGGGTAAAAATAAGAAGGAACATGAAGATAACGGGAAAAAAAAACAGGGCCAAAATGATACATTGCCACAGATGCCAGGAGGAGAATTTTGAGAAAGAGAGAAAGTCAGGCATGATGCAGAAAGGAAAAAACATTAGAGGACCAACGAAGACTGGTTGATTTAACCTTAATAATTAATGTTAGTGACTTTCAGGAATATTGTTCTCTGAAACAATCAGGTACAAGTCAGATTGCTGGGAATGAATGAGGAAGTAGAGAGACAGGAAGTTATCACTTAACAACTTGAG